TTTAAATCAGAGTAAAAAAATCATGATTTAAATCAAAATGATTTTTTTACTAATAAATGTTTTCTCATCACCTCATCCAAGCACCTCACTTTCAAAAGCTTCATCATTATCATCTCTAGTTACAGATATATCAGATGCTCCTTCTCCCTCACCATTTAAGAGAGATAAGAGGGATAGTTCTATGGAACAAAGAAGCATAACTGGTTTTGTGATAAAAACTACTAAGTCTGAAAAAGTCACTTTGGATCAGCAAGTTGCTAATTATATATATGCAACAAATTCCCCCTTCCGAACAGTGGAGCACGAAGAGTTTATCAAGATGATTAAAGTGCTAAGACCAGGATATGTTCCACCTAATAGACATCAAATTGGAGGGTCTCTTTTGGATCAAGCCTACGATTCAGTGATTAAGAATTATTCAGAAGAACTTAGTGGGAAAACAGTTTGCATGGCCATGGGTGGATGGAGTAATGTCCATAATGAGCCTATAGTATGTATAACTTTAACAGCGGACAACCGTATTTATCTTGTTGACTCTATAGACACAGAATCAAGACACACAGCTGAATATCTGTTGAAATTAGCTGAAGTGCGACAAAAAAGTGTGAAGACAAATTTGGATGCACAGTAAGAAGCTGTGTAACAGATAATGCTGCTAATATGGCAAAAATGAGAAGTGAATTCGGACAAGATAAATCCATTATAACATATGGTTGCTCTGCACACCTGTTAAATTTGCTTTCACAAAACCTGCAAATCAAGAACATTAAGGAGCACATTACTGAAATCATTAAGTACTTCAGAAATCATCACATCCCAGGATCTTTGTATAGAAGAGCAGGAGGAACAATGCTAGAAATACCATCAGACACACGATGGAACACAGTGACAGATTCTATTGAATCTTATTTAAAGAACTGGGAGGCCCTTGTCAAAGTGTGCAAAGAAAATAGTGAAGACATTGATAAGAAAATTGAAAGGAAAGTTAATGATAAGGCATTAAAAAGAACTGCAGAAGACTATTTAGAGAGACTTAAGCCTATTGCTGTGGCATTGTACTGTGTCCAGAGAGAACATACCCTATTAAGTGATGCTGTAGAAATCTGGGTAAAACTGAAAACTGATATTAAGGAGTATTTAACTGATAAGAAGGATATGGATAATTTTGAAAAAAGAATCAAAGTACCATTGACACCTGCCCATTTTCTAGCTAATGTGATAGATCCAAGGTATCAGGGCAGACATCTGACTCCTGAGCAGCGAGACATTGCAGAACAGTATGTGTGCGAGTCTCTTCCACATTTCCTTTCAACATTAATGTCCTTCCATGGAAGAAGTGCACCATTTAAAGAGGTCCATTTTGGTAAAGATGTTGTAAAATCTCTCTCACCCCTTGCTTGGTGGCAGTATTTTGCCAATGATACGACAGAAAATGTAATGGATGTTCCTAGGCAATTATTTACAGCTGTTGCATCATCAGCAGGGGTTGAGAGAATTTTTTCCACATATGGATTTGTTCACTCAAAGGTAAGAAATTGCCTAGGACAGGAAAAGGCATCTAAGCTTGTCACAGTACATAAGCATTTCAATGTTCAACTAAGCTAATTTAAATGTTTTGAACTATTTTTGTTGTTTACAGAATGAGAATATTGTGTTGACTTGAAGTTTTACCGGTAATTCTTAATACACTATAATCCTACAAATGTAAGAAAATAAACTTGTTACCAGTGTTATTTTTTTTACAAAATGAGAATATTATTCTGTTGACTTGAAGAAGTTAAGTTATTAATTTTTGAAACACTGTAATCCTATAAGAGCATTTATGTTAAATTTCATTATTACGTTTGGATTTGTGCACTCAAATGTAAGATATGTTACCAGTTTTCTTTTATTTTACAAAAAGAATATTATTGTGTTAAATTCCATTGGTACATCTACTGCATAGGTAAATATTTTAATGTCAATTTTCTGTTTATTATCCTGAATAAGCTTTGGTTGAAAAATACTGTTTTCATGGTTTAAAATCACTATTTTAATGCAATTAGTAAAAAAAATAAAAAAATCGATTTAAATACAAAAATCCGATTTACATCAAATAAATAATTTTTTTTTAATTTTGAAAAAAATCATGATTTTTTCCAGAACTGATTTTACTGACTCTGTATCAACATTTCTTACTTTCTTTTTTTTTGTAAAATAATGGAATTCACATCACTATATCACACAGAAATATTCCGTTTAAGGATATGTTAGTGGAAGCGTTTCGTAGAGAATTTATTAAGGATCATATATCAAATTCATCTCCCTACCACAATCGCTTGAGTGAGGAAGGGGGAGGAAAGTGACTGCATGACCCTCCCCCCTCACCCCCACAAAAAGGTTCATCTACCACATTCTTCAGCCACACCCCATCATCACAGCCTCCAACACCACTCACATTCCCCTAACAAGGGAATTAAGACAGCAGACATAAGGATGAAGATCTTATTGTGTGACATATTTACGTGTGTGTGTGACAGCAAGTTAAATATCAGCTGTTGGGGAGTGCTTGCCAACGCTCATTTCCACTCCATTTTTCTAATCACCCACACTTTTCTGCTTTCTCACTCCACATTTTAAAATGTTATGTAATGTAATGTTGAAGGGATACCACTTTGCTCACTTATACTTATACTTATCACAATCTCTGTAAAAATACTTTAGGTTTCGTGTTTATTCAAGACACCTTCAGGTCATGAGACCCACTAATCCCCCGGCCAAGAAAGGTGACCTGACATTCCATCAGAAGGTCAGTAATATGAGGCTACTAATCCCACACCCTACCTTGACCTGACATTGAGTCAGGTCAGGTACATGATACCCACTAATCCCCCACAGCTCCATGGGAGTAGAACATATCATATAGATTTTTATTTTCAAATACAGGTTGTACCTCTCTAGTCCGGCAACCTTGGGACCTGACCGGTGCCGGACCATGGAAATTTCCGGACCATGGAAATTCACCCTTTTCCTGGATAGATAGTGACTTGTGCTTACGCTTGGATGCACTAGCACCACTTTCACTGCTTTGTGGGCTCTTTGAAGATATAATGAAGAGTTAAATGTTGTACAGTAGGTTCTCAAACTTTGGGAGTTTTTAATTCAACGTTTTTTTATTTTGAAAAAAAAAATGCAATTTAAAATTTTGATGGCGGAAACTCGAATTTCAACGGGTTTGAGCGGCCCGCCAACGTTCAGACATGCACAAATCGTGTAAACAGCGTCATTTCTCTTATGTACAAGAGATTCATTATTGTTTATTACTGAATGTCTTTTTGATTTAATTAATTTTTATATGTGCAAAATGAGCAATACAATTCATTAAAAACACGTAGAATATTAGAACACACGAGGAGATGAGACGGCATTGTTTTCGTTGATTACAAAACCAGTGGCTGACTGGATCTACATATAAAACTGAAGAAAATAAGACCCTGGTTGTAGCTGTTGTAAAATTAATGTAAAAAATTAATATGGTTGCTTTAAGTAATGTTATTTAATGTTAATAAATGGAACAATATAAGTAGCTAACCATTAATGGTAAAGAAAAAAGTGAGCTCACGTATGTAAGTGCGCACATGTGAAAACATATCGTCATTACTCTACATAAGAATATGAAAGCAACACTTATTTACTGTTCATATAGATTTTAATTAATGTTTCTGAATTTAAAAAAAAAATTCTACCCACCAGTGGTGTTAAAGTTGAAAACATAAGGACAGCCAATGTTGTTGTGTGTGTTTTTACTCGGATGACGTATGCTCAACTCTAGCTGAAGCTGTAGAACATAAGAACTTTGTTTTTAGTTTTTATTTAATTTTATCTGTGTTATTTTCGTTGGTTTAATAGGATGTTGCTTTATTACAGGTAGTAATTCCCCCAAAAAGTAGGGTAAATAAGGCAAAATTTAGCCAAACATCGAAAGTACCAGACTCAAATTTATTTTCTCCATGGGCAAACTTAAATCGTTCCGGACCACGGGAGTGTCCGGACCACAGAATGCCGGACTAGAGAGGTACAACCTGTATATTTATTTTATCAAACTTTCAGATAAACTATTCTGGATTATTGTAAAGAAATGGCGTTTCTAACTTAATTAGAACTGCATTTACGGACTCCTTTAGTTTAGACTCAAGGAAAACATCCCCAGCACCCAGAAACATTCTGGGGAAGTGGGCTAGTGTCTGTGTGTGCATGATGTCTAGTTTAGACACTCGGAAACTTTTCCCAGTAACCGGAAAAGATTCCGGGGATAAGGAATTTTTCCGGGTTTGAGGAGGTCGTCTGGTTAACTGGAAATCTCTCATCACAATTGTTCCGGCTAATGGGGATATCACTGTATAATGATTAGTTACTACACTAAATATACATGAGGAACAGTGGCCTCCAATATTTACAATGAACAGAGTTGTGTATTACACAAGGAGTTCTTTAAATTTAGGGAACAATTTATTTGTCTAAGATCACTAGAAAGACAGACAACTAACATAAAAGAGAAAGGGTTAAAGTGATTTGAGTGCATAGTACCTCCTAAAAAAAAACAATACAAATGCTATCCTCACATTTACATTGTGCAAATCTTTCACAAAAAATTATTTACAACTTCATAAATATTTAACTTGTTTTCAGAGAAATATCCACTTGAATACATTACACAAACTGAACATTTAAATACACAGAGGCATTACTGTCTCTGTGCCTAAAGTGCTTAGCTACTGAATATATTATCCTATATCTGCCAAGTTATACCATTATTATGTGGTCCCTTCCAGTCAAAAATTGTCAGCTAATATCTCAGTAGGGATGTGTAGAAAGAGTAAAGTGGGAATTTTAACCTGATAATCCAGATATGGTTGAAAGGTTGACTATCTTACTGAGACTCCTGATGTGATGAATATGATGAAACCTCAACTTTTACATATAAAGAAAACAAAGTCAGATTATAATAAAATAATACTTACAGCTAATTTGATGCATGCAGGGCTAGAAGTACAGTCACCAATTCTCCGTACACTGTTGTAATGGTCTCCATTATGGTATGATATGTGAAGTTCTGCCATATTTTTTTTCCCTTCTCTTCCACAAATCTTCATTATTAAAGAGAAACAAAATAGAATTAAATTCAGACTAAAATGAAAAGTATATGAAATGCACATTTCTGACACAGTAACAGAGGACTGAATTATGATACAATATTACCTTTTATGACTGAGGGGAGGAAGCAAGTGACCTATAGGAGCAAGATTACCAATAAAAACTTTCTAAGCCAACCCTCAGCTATGAGGATGGTACTCTAAATGATTGAAGCTCTTCAAAGGGAGCATGGAGTGGTAACGTGCACAGTGTTGCCAAGCGCTCCTCACCAGCTGATGTTTATCTCGCCACCAGGCAGTCAAACTTAAGTCAGTCAGTCAGTCAGTGTGTGTGTGTGTGTGTGTGTGTCAGAGTTATGATCTCACATGATAAATGTTATTGCCACTGATACCAGATTATAAGGGGAAGTGATAGTTAGGATAGGTGATCACAGGTGCCAGCTCCTCACACACACACCCTGCAGGTGTAAGGTGAGGTGACAGAAGTTATGACCTCATATGATAAGGTTTACCACCACTGACATCAGCCGGAAGTGGCAGTTGTCAAGTGGATGGAGAAGGGTGAAGGTAAAAAGGATTTAGATGGACACATGTGATCTGTGAATTGATAAACATAAGCAATTTGAATGTTTTAAGATTTTTATTTAAATTTTCCCATCAAAAAATCTGGGCAAGCAAATTTCCTCCAAAAATATGTTAGGGCAAGTAAATTTCATAATTCAGTTGCCTGGGACAAGTAAATGTTCTCTATAATCTGCACAGCCTGATGTAAACTTAAAGTTATGGTTTGGAAATCAAAGTGTTAACAAGTGGACTGGCATAGAAACATATCTTGTATCATCCTTTAACAAGTCAACAGGCTGATATACACTCATACAGACAGACAGCTCCAACTCACTGTATGCACCATTTTACATAGGCACATGAAGAAAGTTTCATAAGCCTTGAAACTTGCTTCCTCTACAGAGCTATCCTGATCACTGTAACAGACAATTTTTGCAAACAATGTTAGTGCTTTTATTGTGTTTTAAAAATTATAGTATAATCAGGTCTGTGAACAATTCTGTAAGAAACAACCAAACTATGCACAGCTTGGAATATGAGGAGAAAAAACAAAAAACAAATAAATAAAGTGCACACCTGCCAGAGTGGAGCATTCAGTTGGTGGATTACAACCACAACTTCATGAAGACGAGCAAAGGCAACAATACAATCATTCCCTCCATAGGTGCCAAGTTCAGCCAGGTTACTCACTGTGGAAAAAAAGACTTGGTGTTAGCTGACTTCCTCAAATCTCAATTTGCATACAAAGTATACAAGGACATCAATCATCATAAAAATCGTGCAAAGATCATCTGTATAATTCAGTACAGTAGAACATCGATTTAAAGCAATTCAATTTATGATTACTGTTTTGATTTAAAGTGACACCCACAATTAAGGACATTGTTTTAATTTAAAGCGAATCTCTCCTATTTTGCGAGAGTCAATCTGGTGCATCATATTTTAAAATTCGAGCCTAATGTTTCTCTGGGCACGTTACACTGTCCTAAGGGCAAAGCTGTACTGTACATGTACTCAAAATAATGTACTAAATGATTACCAAAATTTTTGTCTAGTGCAAACTATAGCATGATTATATTCAAACTAATCACTGTCTTATAAGAATTCCAGCAATGAAAATTATATTCTCCCCAGTCACTTCTGTGACATTTTATAAACAAAAAACAAAAACTCAAGCTAAAGGACATAAATAAATAAATAAATAAATACTTCACTAGACCTTTGGCCCAACTGTCAAACATGTCACTGTCACCTCTCCTTCCTCCCTCTCCCCCATCTTCCCAGCCAGGGTTTGGTGGTTTTAGGCTTTTATGTTTTTAAATTATATAATATCACAGACTAAAGTTAGGGGAATGTAATTTGCATTGCTGGAATCCTTGCAAGACGGCAGATAATTTGAATATAAACGTCATATATTTTACACAAGAGATAAAAATTTTAGCTCTTTGTAAGAAAATTAATTAGAACATGTCAGTTCAGTGATATTTTATAAGAGAAAAACTTAAAATCACTCTTTAGGACAGATAAATAAATAAGCACTAGACCTTGGCATTAACTGTCAAACATATCACCTCACCTCTACCCCCACCCCATCTTCCCTCAATTTTAGCTGTGTTGATTTATGAGTGTTTGTTTTAACATAATACTACAAAAAACAACATTTCCTTTATTCTAGGAGAGGGGCTGAGGTGCATCTGGGTAGACTCTCAGTCTTTTTAGAATTATGTTTCTCTCAAGAACCAAAGTAAATTATTCCATTGATACAACACTTCGATTCAGTGCGAATTCGGTTTAAAGCGACCCCTCTTGGAACGTATCTTGTGTTATATCGACGTTTTACTGTACTGTATTACAACACAAGTATCACCCTTTGATGAAAATACAAACTAACTCACAGTGCCTCTCAAAGGGAACATCATCTTCAACAAATGGCTCAAAATCATTGCGGTTTTGCCTCATGTAAGCCACAACATCTTGTCTATGTTTCTGATGAGTATTTGGCGTACCATCAAGCTGATCTCCAAGAGCTCGGAATAAACAATTTCTGCAAGAGAAACAAGCCAGTTAATCTTAGTGTTATATTCATAATAATAATTTGATGACATTATATTCATTGTGAAAATTATTTTGTATAATCCCATGCAATAATCCTAAATTGAAAAAAAAAAAAAAACTCCTAGCAACTTGCCCAACAGAGCCCTAAAGCACCTACGGATATGCAGATAGTGGTTTTGTATGAATTTAACATGAAATAGTCTTATTGTTGGAGATAATCATGGATTTCTTACGATAATTTGTATAATCCATGATTCACGTGTAATAAAAATATGAATCGTGGTGAGGTTTTGTTATTATTACATATAATTAGTCTGATGACGTACAACAAGAATCAAGATTTGGTGGGTTTACTAATACATTCGGCTTTAAGTACCTCAATGCTTCACCAAACAGCTGGTTGAAGTCTTCATAGAACTTCATTAAAGATGATTAAACCATTAAAGGTTGACAATCCCTTATCCGAAATCCTTGGGGCTGGAATTATTTCGGATTTCGGAATTTTTCGGATTTCAATATATATATATATATATATATATATATATATATATATATATATATATATATATATATATACACACACCTAGACCCGACTTACGACTACGTGACTTACACCGTCAATTTACGCCTCACCAGATATACCTGTAGATTAAAAAAAAAAAAAAAAAAAAAATTTTAAATGACACGACTACACGAAACGTTTCCAGTTAATGTAGTCTCCATGTATAATTAGAAAATTATGGGGCCCCATGTGCATTCAGCTGACTACATTAAAGGTTAAGTGCTCAAGTCACACTGTATCCATTCCTTATTATTTATTACTTTCACTGTACTGTATCCATTCATCATTATTCATTACGTTTACTGTACTGTATTTCATTTTAGATTTTTATTAATTTTTTTTTTTTTTTTATGTCGGACTTCTGACCTGGATTTGGGTCCCAACCCTCATTGTAAGTCGGGGTTCGTGTATATATATATATATATATATATATATATATATATATATATATATATATATATATATATATATATATATATATATATATATATATATATATATATATATATATATATATATATATATATATATATATAAGTAAATCACTGTGTATATATATATATATATATATATATATATATATATAGTCATGCTTTAAAAAAAAAAAACACGTGGCGCCTGCTGGATCACCACCACGACCCCTGAAGGAGACCATGATCCTCCCCACACTGGTCAGATATTATGTGTTAAAGGAATATACTTCCTTACTTGGCTTTTCTTTTTCTAAGCATTTGCCTGGCTAGTGAAATTCTTTAACCTACATTTATAGAGGATAAAATCTTTCACCTACAAACTGACAATAACACATTTGCTGTATCAGACATATCTAGTTGTTCAACAATTGCAAACCCCAGTTGCAATTGGGGTTGCAATTTCAAATTCTGTGGCATTACTTCAAAAATAGTCAAGTTTCTGGTGCACCTAAGATTAAGAGAGAAACGGAGGACTCAGGGCGTCCTGATGAGAGAAAATGGACTCGGTGATGACGGGGACCAAATAAAAAAGCATAGCTAAGGTTTTGTGGACTACAGTATTAAGCGTACCCTTTCATCACTTTGTAATAAACCCGGCCATGTCTATGTGTGTTTATGATATTTACCATAACATTATATATATATTTAGTGGGTCTAAATGGTCGTAATGGTGTCTGAACCAATTAGGAATAAATCCCTATTAGGTTCTGTACTTTCGTTATCGGAGGGGTCCCAATAGGGAGCGGCCAACCAAGGGATGACTGTATATACTTGTGACACTGGCTGTTGCTTCTGGTGTTATGGGTACAGGGGTACCAAGTGACAGCACTAGGATCCCGCTTCCTCCATCAAGGAATAAACAATTGAAATTTAAATTGAAAAACAACATCAAATAAATTATTATCTTTCAAGAATCCTCCAATGTAAGTTAGCATTTACCCAGGTCGTTTGGGTAGAAAAAATTATGCGAAGAGCTTAGTTACTCTTAAGTAATGATAAATAAACACGCAGGCAGGCCTCAGCATTAAGGAATCTATTCAAATAAATAAACAAACAAACACCAGACATTCTGTCACCCCCGTCTTCCCACCACCTCGTGTTCAAGATAAAGATTGGTGATTTCTCTTATGTTTATTTTATATAATATCATAACATCTCAGACTAAAGTTACAATAATATAAATTACTGTTAAACTGCAAGACAGAGATTAATTTAATGATGTCATTTTGTCAAGAAAATGTAGTACATTAGTGTACGTCACTGTAGTACATTTACAAAAAGTTTTTCAACTGTATTTTGGGTAGATTTACATAAATTTCTTCATTTATTTTCACCCATTTCATTTACACACCATACTAAAAAAACGTAAAAATAAATTTGTGCAAAAGCTGACTGCACATGTACTAATTTTTGATTACGTACTAAAATTGTTATGTCTAGTGCGAATTATATGTTAATATTCAAATAAATCAGTATCTTACAAGAATCCCAGCCATGTTAATTATATTCTCCTAGGTCATATCACTGGCATTTTTAAAATGGGGAGAAGCTTAGTAGGACTGTTAAATAAACACACAGAGACCTTCACCTCAAACTTATCACCTCAACCCCCCACCCCCCAACCCCTCGCTGGGTGGCGTGGCTGGTTCCGACAGCCCTCCCTCCCTCCCTCCCCCCCAGCCAGGCTTTTAGGGCTTACAGTTTTTATCTTATATACGATCTCAGACTAAAGATTATAATTTCATTGCTGGAATCCTTGCAAGACAGCCAATAATTTGAATATAAACATCATATATTATGCCTCAAGAGATAAAAATTGTTGTACATTAGTGTACAGTACTCAGTACACTTTATAAAAAAAGTTTTTCAACTGTTTTTGGGTACATTTATTAGATTTCTTATGTAAAGCTGGAGTGCACATGTACTAATTTGATTACTGTAGTAAATTGTTTTGTCTAGTGCAAATTATAGCATGTTTATATCTTAAATTTCAATCAGTATGTTAAAGGAATCCTCAGCTATGTTAATTATATACACCCAGGTCATTTCACTGGCTTTTTATAAGAGAGAAGCTGAATACTTAAGAACTGATAAATATACACACGTTAGACCTGGCCTGTGCCAACTGTCAAACCACTCCTCCCCCACGCCCCCTGCCCTCCCTTCTCTATCTGCCCAGCGTTGCTGGAATCCTTGTAAACAGCGAATAATTTTAATATAAACGTCATGTATTTTGCACAAGAGATAAAAATTAATCACCTGTATCACATTACAGTTGTGATTTAAGAGTAAAAGTGTATATGTATCGTATATAGTATCTCCATACACATAAGTATAAATAAAGTTTATGTGATGATCGGATAACGTCCATTTCGTTAACGTCACGTTTCCAAGAATGACTGTGTATATATGTGTATATATATATATATATATATATATATATATATATATATATATATATATATATATATATATATAGAGAGAGAGTATATATATATATATATATATATATATATATATATATATATATATATATATATATATATATATATATATATATATATATATATATATATATATGCATATTTAAAACCCTAGTTAATTTAAGACCCAATTAAATTTACGTCATTTCATTCATATTTACGACCAAAATATAATAAAAACAAAATAAAATTACATTTTCATATAAATAATAACTAAACTCCGATATGCAATTATAAAAAAATATTGTAAAAAAAATGAAGAGCACCTTACAACAGTTTTGCATCCCTATTCAACATGAGCAAGAGAGCAAGTGATGGTAGTGTTGGTTCAAAAGCTAATAGAAAATGTGTGTTTAGCTGGAGAAACTAGATGTGTTAAAACGATATGAAAAGTTGAGGTCTGTGGATATTATAAGGGAGCAAGCAATGAACATATTTTCTGAAGTGGATCCATTAACAGAACAAGGGAATTAAAATTTAAATAAATGCAAATGAGAAAAAGAAAGCAGCTGTGCAAGGTTCTTTGACAGCTTTATGTATTCAAAGGACTAAACCATCAACTTCAGCTACACCATCAAATTCAGCATCATAAGCAGCTGCAACATCAAGTCTGGCTCAGTAACAGTTTCAGCAACAGCTTTATGTGGAAAGCTGCTGCTTCAGTCAGTTGAACCTACAGCTTCAACCCGAAGTTGAAGCTGATGACTTCAATATCTGAGTAAAAAATCCCCGCACAATATTCATTGACTGTCCTTTTTTGAGACTTTACCAACATTGGTGAGTAGAATTTTTGCTTTACATTCGTAAATATATTTAAAACATATATGAGCAGTAAATAAGTGTTGCTTTCATATTCATATGTAGAAAAATGACGATATGATTTCACATGTACACACTTAATGCCATAATGTTGACGTTCCCAATCGTCTCGCCTTATTTCTTTACCATTAGTGGTTAGCTACTTCTAGTGTTCCATTTAATAACATTAAATAACATTATTTGAAACATACATACAGGTATTCAATTTTTTTTATATTAAGCTCACTACAGTTTCTTCAGTTTCTTATGTAGAACCATCATCACTCACGAAAACAATGCCATCTTGTCTCCTGTGTGTTTTAATATTCTACGTATTATTATTGAATTGCATTGTCTATTTCACATATAAGAGGGTCCCCGGTTAACGAAAGCACAATCCGCTTCCAGGTTGCTCGTTAACCTAAAAATCTCAAGCAATCAAAACCATTGTTTCAATGGGTTTTTGGCAATTGGTTCCAGCCCACTGAAAATTGCCTAAATTAAAATTTTTAGAAAATGACACTTACCTTGAGGTGTGTATGTAGAAGCTCCTGGGTGATGATGCTGATGTGAATTTGAAGTGGGAGGTGGAGGAGGAGAAGGAGAAGAGAAGGAAGTGGAGGAGAAGTATTTACTGCTTCTTGAAGGTGAGTCACTCTTCCATGAAAAATGT